GCCAGTTCTTTCAAACGGAAAGGAATATGATTTTGTTGAAAGCTGAATTGCAATGATAATGTTTATTTAGTTTAGCACCAATGTTGTGTCTATTTCCTTAAGATAAGATAAGATAAGATAAGATAAGATACATCTTTATTGTCCAGATCCTGGCACATTGGTTTGGTGTTCCACCACGAGTACACACACACACGCGCACACACACACACACACACACACACACACAAACAAACACACACACACGTACACACATGCACGCACATGCACACACAAGTAGGCTTACAATCACATACATAATGTAAATGAGCAGCAATATAAACAATAATAATCGTAAGCTAGATACACACTCAATGTTATTTTGATGCATGCTCTAAGGTCGTAAGTACACTAAACAAGATGGTTAAGATGGAAGCATTTTGATAGATGATGGTAAAAATGACCTGTATCTTTCTTTGTTACAGATCAGAAGCATGGGTCTTTTACTTCTGACTGATGTTTTTATTTGAGGGAACAAGGGATGTTGTTGTCTAAAAAGATGGAATTAATTTTCTTAGTGCAAGCTGTTATGTACAATTCATCCAAGTACGGGAATGAAGATGTTGAAATTTTACATGCTTTCCGTATTAGTCAATTTAATTTTTCTTTATCTCGTTGTCTTGTGTTCCCGGCCCATGCTGTTATACAAAAATTGATCATACTTTCTATGGTTGAATGGTAGAACATGGACATCAATGTTTTATCAACTTTAAAATACTTTAGCTTTCTAAGAAAAAATAGTCTTTTGTTCACTTTTTTATGCCGGAGAGAAGTGTGGACACGCCAGTTGAGTTTGTTGTCTATTGTAACACCCAAATACTTATAGTCTGACATTTGCTCGATGTTTTCACATTTCATTTTGAGTGGCTGCAGGGGCAGTTTCTTTATTCTAAAATCAACGACAAGTTCTTTTGTTTTTTTCACATTCAAAAGCAGCTTATGATTTTCACACCATCCACAAAAGGATGGAGTGGGTGGTTTGAGGGTGCGACGGATAGATGCTACACTACATCTTTTCTTACCCTCCTGTTTAGGTATGTCTGTCTGGATGTCTATCTTGCTCTTTCTCATTATCAAACAAACATAATGTGGATGTGGTTTTCTTAACTAAACAAAACAAAACAAACCTAAAACCTTTCTGGTTGTTGCTGGGCACTCTGGTGTGGTCTGCTTCTTCTCCTTCTTTACCACATTACTGTTTCGTTATCTCTCTCATGTCCAGTCATAATATGTCTAATAGACAGTTAGGCTACCAATCTCATACTCGTGAGATTGTGGTTTCGAGGGTTTGAATCTCAGCACAGTCCTACATTGTGTCTTTGGGAAAGTCATTTGACAAATATTTTCCCAACTGGCTCAGACCTATCATGATCAGAGATCAGACCTGCCACTCATTCCGATTTAATCAGGATATCCCGATTCTTTTGCCCCAAGTCTCAAGCATCCCAATATTGAAGGCGTGCATCCCAATTTTTTGTGTTCAGTCTGTTGCTCCGGATTTTTCAAAAAACTTACTCTGCTTTCATATATTTATGGAGTAATATGGACACTCATGGAAAATTTTAAAGTTAGCTTGGCAGCCACCCTAGTGATTTGTCGTAGATCCCTATTTTTTTTCTCCTTGAAATCCTTATTTTTAGATTTCATAGAATGGCAGGTCTGGGAGATGGACATTAAATTCGGAGGTCCCACCTCTTGAATAACTCCTTACATTGTTGCAGGGTGAGTTAAAACTATACATTTTTTTCCCTGACATAATATGGTTGTTGTTGTTCTACCAACTGGCGGTCAACAAAGCCTGCAACACCACTCATTGAGACAACTGTCATACACGTACCATATTTCTCTACAGGGGACAAAATCCGTGACTTTCTACTCAGCTTGCGGCATCTTCGAATCTTCATTGGCCTGTGGAACATTTTCATAATCTTGCTCATGATTGTGTAAGTATCCTCAATGTGCCAGAACTCTGACCGTTTTCCATGTTAATTTTTATTGACCCATTGAGGTCACAGCGTCGGTGACCTAGTGGTTAGGCTCTCGGACTCGTAACTGTAAGGTCATGGGTTCGAATCCCGTCAAGGGTTGACGTTGTGTCCTTGGGAAAGGCACTTTGCACAAATTTTCCTCAGTTCACCCTTGTGGAAATGGCAAATGGGTACCCAGCTATAGACAGTGACAGTAAACGATCTTGTCAGTTTGATTGGGTTTGAGTGCGTGAAATCCGCAGCTTGCACTGTATGCTTACGCAGAAGCCGAGAATGTTTCTGAGTGTTCTCAGAGGGTCTGCTGGGGTAATAATAGTTGTAAAGCACTTAGAGCATGCTCTTTAGTATGGATTACGCTATATAAATGCAATTATTATTATCATTATTAGTATTATTACTGCCATGTTTTTAGGTTGTTTACAAGCTTCATCATAGAAGCTTCTGGCTATGCAGGCCGGGAGATCAGCTGATTTTGTACTTTGCCCTATATGTAAAGCATTGTTTGTTTTTATTTTTTAAATTTAATTGTAATTTAAAAAAAATAATTTAGAATAGAGAGGGGTTGGGGGAGGGGGGGGGGACTCAGTTGTCCTGTGATGGGAACACCCAGACTAATTTGTGGCTGTTGTCAGTTCAGCAGTTTTGTGACCGATGCTCATGCAGTTCAGATCCTTGGAAAGTTTGTGTCTTTTATTCGAGTTTGTTGATGGCTTTCTGGTACAGTGGTGGAAACTCCGGTCTACTTGAATGATGTTAACCCTTCAATTGTAGCTAACAAATAGCCTATGGTGTTGGGGGAAATTGTATGGACTGTTTAGTGTTATTTTGAAAAGTGACATAATATGATGGATCTTACAGAAAAAAAAACTATTTGGATCCATTTCCCTTTGTCCTCTTTGGGGATCCAAACTAGGGCCATCCGCTTTGCAGTCCAATCCAGTGGGATTTCAATTTCAACTGAGCTAATGGCTTGCTTAGATTGTTGGTGCTGACAGTTTGTTTAATGTTAATGCTTGAGCGCCTAATTGGCTGCTTGCACAGTATGCTTCCCGGGAAGACGAGAATGTTTCTGAGTGTTATAGGTTCTGCTTGCGGTAATAATACAGTGTAAAGCGCATAGT